AGAGGGTTTGCGGGGCTGGAGGGAGGATCGGAGTGGGGAGGGAGGGGAGCGGGAGGGAGAGGAGGGGGTTTGGGGGGCTGAAGGGAGGGTTGGAGTCGGAAAGGGTCGGGAAGGGGGGGAAGAAGAGAGAGGAGGGGCTTTGGGAAGCGGGAAGGGGGGTCGGTGCGGGAAAGGGTCGGGGAGGGGAATGAATTTGGGGGGTGGCTTTGGAGCGGGATGGGGGGGTCTGCGAGGGAAAGGGTCAGAGAGGGGAATGAATTTGGGGGGTGGGAGAGGGGGCAGCGTGGGGAAAGGTCGGGGAGGGCGCTGGGCGGGGGAGCGGGTCGGGGGGATCCTGGGGAGAAGGAGAACGGGGTTGGGGGGCTGGGAGACCTGGATGGGGCCAAGAGGGTTTTGTGAGAGGGTTTGGGGAGCGGGTTTTGAAAGGAGCAGGTTGGAGGGCTGTGGGGAGGGGGATCCGGGGGATCAGGGCTTTTTCCAGTGGTTTTTGTGCAGTGGCTTTGGCAAACGGGTTTCAGGGATGCACTTTTCCTAAGGGGAAAAGAGCTTTGGGAGGTGGTTCTGAGGGAATGGGGTTCGGGAGTGCTTTCAGGGGAACAGACATGCAGATTTTGGGGAAGCATGCTTCCCAGAGGCACCCAAGTGCCTGGGAATTGCTGGGAATTCGTGTCCCCCTCAGCAGTTCTCAGGGAGTGCCCAGCCCTGGTGCCGCTCCAGGGACCAAATTTCCCGTCGGAGGTTTGGGGGATAAATGGAAGGTGGCAGCAGCTCCTGACAGCCAGGATGGTGGGTTGGGAGCGTGTCCTGACACTCCAGCTCCCTGGAATGCCCAGAGATGGGCAGGACAGTCACTCCCGTGCTGGGCTGAGGGATGACTTGGAATATTTCCTGGAGGAGGATGTGGATGCAGGTGGATGCAGGCAGAGCTCGGAGCTGCTGCCGTGGTTAACCCTGCCCCCTCCCTGCCTGAGGGGAGATTCCATCATCCCAAACATCCCTGGGAATGCGGGAGGGGGCTGTGAGCAAACCCTGCCGTGGCACAGGGGGGGTGAGATGTCTGGGTGGCACCTCGGGCTGTCCAGGGATGGTCCCCATGGGAATGAACCCTCAGGGAGGCCGAGGCCAGCACGGAGAAACGCTGTTTGATGGAGCTCTTGCAGGGAATTCCCTTTGGTGGCTGTTCCATGTGTGGATGTGGCACCTGGGGACAGGGGGTGGTGGTGGATCAGAGGGCTTTTCCAACCTAAACCATTCCATGATTCTCTGATTCCATGAACAACAACCACCATCCAGAGCCTGGATGTATCCCATTCCCACATCCTGGTCTCCATGCAGCCCATCCTTCTGACCCCTTTGGGGGTGACAGACCCCACTTGGTCCCCTCCCTGTGGATCCCCCAGGACGTTCTGGCCGTGCCTCATCCCATGGGACACTTTGGTGAGAACACTTTGTTTTTCCTGCTGGAAAAGAAGATAGTATCAATTCTAATTAGCAATGGGAGTGCTGGCACTTATTCCAGCCAGAGGAAAACCTGGAAGAGATGTTGGAACTCCACACGATTCCTGTTTGAAGCATGTGGTCTCTCTGCCTCCCCGGCAGGAACATGGGTCAAGGTTTGCCCTCACGTCCCTCTCCATCTTCCAGCTGGGAAAATGATTTCCATCCCTAAATCATGTCAGGAAAACGATTCCCATCCCTCAATTATGTCAGGAAGATGGATCCCATCCCTGAGCTGTGGCTGGGAAGTCCTGTGTGTGCTTTCAGCCCTGGGAAGCTGAGAGCAGGGAGAGCTGGATCCGGGTGCCCTCTCCTGCTCCGTGCATCACTTAGCAAGTTTTCCACGGATTAATCATTTGCAATTTCCAAACTGAAAGTGCTTTGGGAATGTTTTCTGGCAGGTGAGTCTCACCTGTCAGCAGTTAGACCCGACTGAGGGTACTTTGCAGCCTCATGGGAGTGTCTGTGTCAAAAAAGTTCCAAAAACGTGCCAAAACCGTACCAAAAACAGAAATTATGGATAACACGATCCTTGTAATATTTAGATTTCATCTTTATTAGTTTTCTGGGATAAGGAAACAGTATCAAGGGTAGCCTTGGTCTGAGCAATCCCACCTGAGTGGTTTTCCTCCCTCCCCACTGGAATTTCACAGGCAGGATGGAGGCAGGGTGTGATTTAACCTCTTCTCATCCCTGTCATTGCTTTGGATGGTTTTATCCTCGTGGTTTGCAAGCTGGAATTGGATTAGCATTGAAAAGTAAACTGTGTTTCGTCCTTCCAGTGAAAAAAGTGGCTGAAAGCTCTGGGGATAGAGTTTTGAGGCAGTGCAGTGCCCGTGGGGGCAGAGCCTGACAAGGGAAGGGAGAGGATCACTCCTCTTCCCTCCGGGTTTGTGGATCACTGGAAGGCACCAAGAAATTTTAGATGATTTAAAGAGTGTTTTGTGGAGTCATGGGATGGAAAAGAGTGTTTTCATGTGCAGTGTTTTGACGTGGAAAAACCATCTGGGAAAAGAAGGGGGGGAAGCCACAGCAGCACTTTGTGAAAAAGGGAGAGATTTGGGGAACAATCCCCTGGAAGAGGGGATTGTTGGAGCCCAGTGCTCCCAATGGGGTTGGTGTGGAATTGTGGGGCTGGGAGGGCAGTGGAGCCCAGTGCTCCCAATGGGATTGGTGTGGAATTG